CCGTCCATTCCGGGTACCGCGGGGAGGGTTGTCCGGTGTAGTGCGTCCGACGTACCCCGGCGGCGGGTCTCCCGGAGTCGTCGACACGCGTCAAGAGACGAGTCAAGAGGCGCGTGGGGGCGCTCTCACTCTCCACTGTACCCGACGCAAAGGGAAGAGAATAAAAAGTAAAGAGCGAGGAGACAGAGTGGCCTTCAACTAAACAGACGACGCGGTAGAACTATCGCAGGGGTTACCGGAATAAAAACGGCCTCCCGGCTCCTAGCTCCTCACTATTACCTTCCCTCGCTATTAGCTCCTTGGTGGTCTGGTAGGAGGCTAATTTAGAGTCTGTGAGCGAGGCCGGGGGAATGACACATAGCGAGTGACTAACCTGCTTAACGTCACGTACGTGACTAGACTACTGATGAACTGTACTCTCGTCTATAATTGTCCGCCTCACTTCTTTTTAAGTTACCTTGGATTGACCTCAGTGAGGAGTCTAATTGTCACAAAACAAAGTTAATTCATCTGTGCACAAACTTATCTCGTGCCCTCATTGGTCATGTGCGCGTTCGTGTGTGTTGGAGGAGGGGCTCTGTAAGGAATTCTAGCTCACTCGAGCTGGTTTCTCCAAAATTACCTTCCCCACTTTTAAGAACTAAAAAATAGCACCTCTATGTAAGTTAAAGGTGACCTATCATGCAAAATGCACTTTTGTACATCTTTTATACATGAATATGTGTCCCGGGTGTTCCAGGGAACTCACCAAGTGTCAGCAAACACAACCCTCTCTATTTTCCTCCATACCCAAATCTCTTAAAAAGGGGCTGCAACGGATCTGATAAAGACTGATCCAGATTTGAACACTTCTATGACGTCACAGAAGTGGCGCTACGGCTATTGGGCCAACTCCACCAATCAGGAGGAGACAGCCACGGACATTGCCGTTCGAAAGCGCAGGAGACGCTGTAGTGCATATGCCAGGCCTGTAGATGGTGCTGTTCTCACAGAATCAGCCCATGCAAAGACAGTGTTAAATTGAGCGAAATGAGGAATGGCTAAAATGCATGATCTGTTTGGTATTTTGAAAAATAAAAAGTATAAATATGCCTTATATAGGTATGGTCCTACACTATATTATTCAAATATAGCATGATAGGTCCACTTTAAGAAGTATGCAAATTGAAACACAGCACAAGACATTCTCTTCAGCCTAAGCTGCATGGTGTTCGGTGCTAATTAACAAATGTTAGGATCTTAAATGAAATGTGACTGTTGTACTCTGGCTGGCCGGTGTTCTGTAGTTCACAGTTTGACCCCACAGGGCAGTGATTTGGTGCCAGTGGTTTGTATTCTCCCTTGGTGAGTGGTCCAGCTTGTGCCATGTTAGCAGCTCAGGTGGGCTGTACCCTGGCGTGGACCCTTGTTGTTACATCTGATCAGTTAATTGGTTACTGTTTTACAAATCAATTTAATAATTACACTTTTTTTAAATAAACTATGGCAGCTTTTCAAACCTTCTTTTAAATGTAAATGTAATATTGCTGAACATCATTGAAACAATCTAATAAATTGTCAACAGTAAAATATGACTTATTCACCAAATGCTTCTAGCTGCTTTGCAGGGTGATCTCTGAGGTTGTTCCTCTTTTCATTCTGTTAAATTGAGTGATTCATGTGTGATGGTTAACCAAGGACTTGGGTTAGGGTTAGGGTTAACCCTAACAATGTGAGACAAACATTTTTTTTTAAATGTTTGCATACAGCGAGATCGCAAAATCCCAGCCAATGGAAAGGAACGCTCTTTACCTCTCTGTGTGTGTGTGCTTAAGTGAACTTTCACTGTTGCGCAGTAATGTGACTGTATGCGTGTTACAGTAGCTGTGACATGATATCCATTCAGAAGACTCACTTTTAAATGCTGTAAGTACCAAGTACACACTGGCCTCGGAGACACAGGCGTTGTTGTCATACTGTATGTCCATGAATAACAGCAATGTTACAGTACAGGCCACACTGTGAACCTGACTGCCTCACAATCTGCCTCTTTCTCTCTCTCTCTCTCTCTCTCTCTCTCTCACACACACACACACACACACACACACACACACACACACACACACACACACCTCCCCCCGTTGTGTCATGTGAGTTCTTTAGACTTGGCCTTGGACATTGTTGCGCAACCTGTCTTCACATTGTGCCTCTTGGCCCAGCACAGCAGTAAATGGACTTCAGTCCAGTTATGTCTACACTCTGTGTGATTTCCACCTCCGCTCTGTCCCCAGCAGACATGTCACTGTCACCAGCAGCTTGCTTTATATATTATGGTAAAATTACATTTTACGCCTCAGTCTCATTTAATAAATGAACAGCTTAAATGTTAACGCCTGAAAGTGCAGAAAGTTTCGATTGATGGGAACCAATTATATAATTAAATGAAAATAAGATGCTAAGGTTAAGCATTTCAATCTTGATTGAACGTCTTTTACAGTTTGTAAATGTCAGCTGTCTTTATTGATATACTGTTGAAACTTTAGATGAAAAAAATGTGAAATGTATACAACATGAAATTCATATGCTTCAGGTTGGCATCAGGTTAGCATTTTCATTTGTCCAATGCTTTGGTTTATGACCAAACACCTGCCAAAGTAATGTCATTTGCATCAACGCTGTAGTTCTGTGTTAAGTGCTAATCAACATCATGTTAGCATGCTAGTTAACAGGTTGTCTGAAAGGCAGAATAAATATAGCCTTTCAGAGACGCTAGCATGCTACAGACTCAATTAGTTTGGATACTATAGATAGTTAATATTTTAAAAGTTATATTACCAGTGGCTCAACAGTGAATGGAAAGGTATGACTAAGGACCAGAACCACACAACAAACCTCTTGTCCAACAATAAAAAGCTTGTGCTCTGCTGATGTTGCTGCAGGGACACTTCTCGTTGAACCTTGGCTACGGTGGCTTGGCGCTGGATTGTGCAACGTTAGGGGAATTGATGTGTGTACGCCCTGAGTCACAGGGGAGACCTGAGAGGTGTCACCTGACCCAGCTGAGACACAGAGCGCTCTGTTTTCCTGTATAACAGCACCACTCATCACACTGCAGGAGAAGATGTTTGATTGGGGTGTGTGGCGCAGTGGATTGTCCGTAGGTGTTCGGATCAGGCGGTCACAGGTTCAAACCCCACTGCAGTCAGCATGTTGTTGTGTCCCTGGGCAAGACACTTCACCCCAAATTGCTCCTGTGGGGATTGTCCACAGTATTGAGTATGTAAGTCGCTTTGGATAAAAGCATCTAACAAATAACATGTAATGTAATTTAGGGCACTAGAGCCAACGTTTACTTGTGTACAGATTGTGAACATTTGCTATGCTTTAACATTAATTCAAATGTAATCAATTACACTAAGCAAAGTTATTGGTAATACACATGTTCCATTTCTTTAATGTAAAAACAAATCCACCATGAGAGCATATGTATTTGATATTTTAGGTTCATACAAGTGTTAGTTACAGTTAGATCAGAACTTCTCTCTTTAATATTAGGGTGTGTAGATTTTTGTTTTCAGAAGCATCACCTGATTACCTTTTTATAAAGTTCAACAAGCCCTACAAGCATTAACATTTAGCAACGTTTCTGCAGCTGTTCAAACATTTGGCCTGAATGGAAGCTGTAGGAATACCATACACTGCAGAAAAAAATGTAATAAATAAAAATGTAGGTAAGGAAGAGAGAATGATGCAAATGTAAATAGCTTTAATACACCTGGCACTAAGCTGCTGGTGTCCTCTGTGCTTCAGTTGTCCATATGTCCCTGCTTGTCTCCACACTGATACAGAGCTTTATATGTTCAGTCTATTTATAGAAGACATGCTGCAGGCAGCGCTCTGTGTTGGCATTCTGCTGACCTTCCTCAGAAGTGCTGTGTGAGGTTTACAGAATATCACCGCATCAGACTGAGACGGTGGTGCACTCCCTCCCCCACACCTACTGCTACAGTAGGAATGCACCAGTTCACATCTTCCCAACAGTCAGGGATTACAAAATGAGTGTCTTTCTGTCTGCAATAAAATCTATTATTAGAACATTTCTTTAGAGCAGCATACACACCAGAGGCAGTGACGAGACCCAACATAATCACTCATTTGCATAGGGATAATTGTACCAGGGATATCAGTCACAAAACGAGTACAAAATACAATATGTTTAAAATATATGATGAGCCAGCAAATAATGATAATGTTATATATATTGTAAATATTGGTTTTAAAATAAACATAATCATAATTATTGGTGTTAATAATTAGACACTTGAGAAATGTTGGTCTGAGACTATTTAAATGAACGGTCTTCAACATGTTTTCTGGAGCATTTACAGAAATGTTTGAAGCAGTCAGTTTAATCTGAGCCTTCTTTACAATTCTGAATGACACCTGACTTCCTTCTGCACACAGGTCTGAGTACAAGGCTTACAGAGATGTGAAGCCGACAAAGATGATCCGGGCCCGGTCCCAGTACCTCCCCCCCGACGAGAAGTCCAGCCTGGAGACGAGCTACAGCGCCACCTACAAGGGCCAGGCCCCGCTGCGGCTGGACAACAAGGACCACAAGGCCCTGGACCGGAGGAGGATACGCAGCCTGTACAGCGAGCCGTACATGGACCCCATCACACAGGTGAGGACCCAGATTTAATTTAAACACAACTTTAATCAAAGTAATTCAGGAGAGGACATCTTTACATCCTGCTATATGGACTATATGTGGAAGAACACATATGCATGGAACCCCTTATCTTAACCACTTCTCTGAAAGATGGGGAAACAAGTGCATACTACATCTACAGTATAAACATTCTGTGGATTGGTAAATAAGACCATGCAACTCCTCTATTTATGAAACTTAATATACTCAAATGTGTTGACATAGTTGAGCTGAAGACAGCGCTGGTGATGCACAAACTCTGTCCTCCTAAAACACTCAGACAAGTCAGCGAGGACCCAACGAGGAAACAAATACTTTGTGTAGATGCCACAGGGAAAGTGTCAAGGCTCATAGTTGATCAATAACTGTTGGTGATAAAACGTAGATAAACCTTCATAACTCAAGTATTACTTCTCATCAACAACTCAAATGAAAGTTTAGGAATATTTTACGAACAGATTACCCAAAGTTATGTTAATGTAGGTTAACAATATATATATAAAATAAACAGCTTTTAAAGCTTTGGTTTTATCTTTAAAAATGATTTTAAATGATGTTACTAATATAATGTTGTATGATATTAGTGTAATTGTTTTCTTTCTTTAAAATGTAGCACTGCGTTGTTTTGGCCCCTGTGTGTGACCGTAGGATTCCTAAAGACTTGTTATTGTTTTTGTATGTTTTGGAGCCTGTTATTATGAAATGTAGTTCTTTCAGCGTGATATTTGAGGTCTTTGACCAGGCGCAATGTGATTTGATAACTCAAAGGAGGGCTTTCGGCCCTCCCGCTTCAACTAATCTTGTGTCCTTGTACCTCGTCAGTATTAATTGTCCTATTATCATTGATTAGTTGAACAGAACCATAAAAAATGTATTTAAAATGTTTACCACTCTCATCTCATTGCAACACATTCTCAGAAATGACCAGCCATAACTTACAGCTCAGGAATCTCATTTCGCCCATCCTCAGGTTGACAGATACAGTGCTCTCCGCACTAAACCCAAAAGGCCTGGAGGCGCCCTGGGCAAGCCAGGGAAGAAAGCCAAAGATAAGCAGAGCGCCGCACTGAGGGGCTCCAAGAAGACCACCTCGGAGAGCCTGCCCGAGAGCCGGCCCGCCGCGGGGGACAAGGAGAAAAGTAAAGAGATGAACAACAAACTGGCTGAGGCAAAAGAGTAAAAATCCTTTAGCATACTTCTCCTTTTATCTCTTATTTGTTGGGGAAAAAACACAGAGGCTGCAAAACATTTCATTTATTCTCCACTTTCCCTCTGTTTCCCTCCCTTTCTTTCCTCTCTTCTTTGATCGATCTGTCACTCATCCTTCTCCTCTGTCCTCTTTCACTACCTCTTGGCTAATTTCTATAAGAATAATAAGATGTCGGGGTTCAGACATGACATGCCATCTCTCCTCCCACCTCATGCTATGTCACATCGCTATAGTAACGAGTGGGCGGGAGCATCCTCTTCCTCCTCCATTTGATGCCACCCCCACTCTGCTCGCCTCCATCTCCAGGTTGCCATGGCTACTGGTTGCCTAGGCAAGGCAATGGATGGCTGTATTTGCATGAGCTGGCTTTGATCGGCTCGGCAGAAGCTATGTCGAGTTTATCAAGGATTTTTGAGAAAAGATAATTGGCACTTTGGATTCAGTCTGCTAAATGAAAGATCTTTGATAAATGTCCCGCTTGGTTAGTCATGAGTGTGTGATTCAGGCTCGGTGTGTACCTGCTCCGTCATCTCTGCTTCTGTTCTCTGTTCATGGCAGAGCTCAAGTATCACAACGCTCTGTTCAATGTGATCAATGTCTCATTTTCACCTGTTGTATGAACACTACATTGTTTTTAGTTTATCTAGAAATGCTGTGCTATCCTATTCAGCTTTTGCTCTTTCATGTGCAGTCCATCAACACAGTTATATTTCACTCAAGGCTATTTTGTAATAACCACTGTGCTGCCAACAACCATCTGGGTCATGCTATACTGATTATGCATTAAACACCAGTCATCTGCCTGGATCTTATTAAACTAAATACTGTGGTGCAGTCATAGTGACATTTAGCAATCGTTAAAGTGTGCCAACATGTCTCAGCAGCATTAGAGAGGGATGAGTTCAGGGGAATTGTTTTCAGGTTGTATCCGATCAGCCTAGCACATAGAGCTGTCAGTCAAAAGCCATAACTCAGTAATCACTCACATTGTTGTGTTTATTAACAAGACTGATCCCTCTGCAGAGCTTTGCAGCAGTTATGCATTTCGCAGTGGCATTTTAACAAACACACACCTGCTTTTGGCTTCTTCATGGGACGACAGCAGACAGATTATATGAATGGTTCATTTCCATAATCTTTAAAGAGGGAGATGTATGGATGAAGCACAGATTGACGTTTTTAATAAATCATGAACAAATCACTGCCATTTGTTACAATCTTTTTTTTCAAGTATAAGAAGTTTTTATCGCATTTCTTTTATAGTAGTTTGTTATAATAAGGGCGAAATGATGATGAAAAGTGAAAAGTATTTCTTTTATACTGATTTATTTTTGGACTCCAGTGTGCATCACTCTTTGTTTCTGAATCAATGTGAATCCACTTGTTTTGTCCAAAGAATGAGTGTATGCTGGTTTAGTTTATTTAACCCTCCTGTTGTCTTCAGATCAAATCTGATCGATTTACTACTTTCATCAATCATAACTTTTTTGTTTTACATTCGATTGCATTAAGGCTTTATGATATCCTTCTCAGTAGACATTTCAACATATCAAATTGCTGATCACCCCTTTCATTGAATTTTTGATGATTTAGTCAACTTTGTACA